GAGCGCTGGTTCAAATCCAAGTGGATGGATATTTTTGTTAAAATACAATTAACTTTTTTATTCTAGATAATTTATCATACAATTTTTCAATCATTTTGAATTTATGATTAAAAAAAACTGCTTTACCGACAAATGAGCTATTTTGATTTAATCATCTAGTATGAAGCCTTCGATAGCTCAGTTGGTAGAGCGGTGGACTGTAGAAGATAATTGACTGAAATTATAGTAATCCATAGGTCGCTGGTTCAAATCCGGCTCGGAGGACATAATTTTATTTCTATTATTGTAGGTAATTTAATGATCAATAGCTTCATATTATTGATGAACAATATTTTTAAGCCGTTTTGAAATATAAACAAAATCTGCTTTTCCGACAGATTGTTTTTTGTTTGTACACGCTCAACCGAATAAATTTTACAGAGCCAAGTTATCATTTGCGTTATACATTACTAATGTCTTAAATCTAAAGTTAAAGGAATTGAACCGAATACTCGCGGTCTTCTCGAGGTTAGTGGATGACAATTGCATAGATGGGGAGAGGGAGAAGTAGAATTTAAATGAGTAATTCTCGTTGAAACCAGGCCTCCATTAACACATGGTCTTTAAATATTTAAATTATCCGCTTGATTGGTCGAAACTGATAAAAAAATGAGAATGCCACTTTACTTAACTCATATTAATGGACCCCTCGCTCGCCATGGTTTTCAAAAAAGTTGAAGTTATAGCAATTCCTTACATATTTATCATGTTAAATCTTTGAAATTTCATATGGAACCTTCCTGAAAACAACACGTTATTATGTTATTATCTTAGATTTGGCCGCCATATTTTTCACTATGTTTGCAACCACCGATTTTGATTCTGAGGTCACCATCTGAAAGCTGAGATCAGATACACATAACCGAGCAATGACATTAACAGTATGAAACAACAATTTTTCTATAGCGAGGTTCACAATTGTTCACGCATGACGTGCCATCTCAGCTTTCACTTGGTGACCTCAGAATCAAAATCGAGCGAGGGGTCCGTTAATTTGAGCTAAGAAAAGTGGCAATCTCATTTTTTCATCAGTTTCTACCAACCAAGCGGATATATTTAAATATTTAAAGACCATGTGTCAATGGGCTGGTTTCAACGAGAATTAATCAATATGATTTATGATTTAAAAAATTCACTATTTCTAAAACATGTTCTTAATTCGATCAACGTTATATCAATTACATACAGCTGTTACAGAAACAAACATACAAAAAAATACAAACTAACACACACAAAATACAAACTAAACACTAAGTTAATCAAACTAAGGTTAATACTTTTCAAGAAAACATATATGAGATGCATAAACTCCAGATGTGCTACGTTAATTCAAATCCTCTAGTATGAATCCTTCGATAGCTCAGTTGGTAGAGCGGTGGACTGTAGAAGAAAATTAATTTAAAATATAGTAATCCATAGGTCGCTGGTTCAAATCCGGCTCGAAGGATATGTTTTTTTTTAAATAAAGAATTAGATACCTATTTATTGTAGATAATTTATCAATCAATAGGGTAAATGATGGCTTCGGCAGCCATCGACTGTTTCGGCAACCACAATTTAAACGTTTATTTCGCTATATTTTCTCACTAAAACACTTCGCTGAATGTATTTAAACGATTTCTTAGTCTTTCAGGTTCAATCCTTATACATTTTTACGACTGATAAAACCTGTTATGTCAGGTGTTTCTTCAAATGAAACATAAGCACATGAAAATACGGCTGATTTCGAGTTGCCGATAATAGAACAACTGGTTAACACCCAGTTTAAACGGAAAGGTTGTCGAAGTAAAAGAGGCTGCCGACAATAGTCACACTCACATGGAAAGTTTGGAGCGCCTTAAATACGTTTTCAAACCGTTTTGGACAGTTCTGTCGATTGGAATGGATAGAGTAGCTAGCAGCTAATAAATTTAAACAAACAGACACGTCATATGTGTGTGTGACACTGAGGAAATGCTAATTGCCGAGAATACGAAGCTGCTTAGATTGCCGAGAATACGTAAATTCCCCTATATAAGTTCTTGATCAGTAATATTTTTCAATCATTTTGAATTTTTAAATTAAAAAAAAACTGCTTTATCGACTGATGTGGTACGTTGATTAAAACCCTCTTGTATGAATCTTTCGGTAACTCGTTGGTAGAGCGATGGACTGTCGAAGAATTTTAACTGAAAATATGAATCCAAAGGCCGCTGGATTAAATCCGGTTAGAAGGATATTTTTGTTAATATACCATACATATTTTATCGATCAATGTATAACTTCTTGATCACCAATATTTTTTAATAATTTTGAATTTATAATTAAAAAACTGCTTTATCGACAAATGTGCTTTCTTGATTTGAACCCTCTAGTATGAAGCCTTCGATAGCTCAGTTGGTAGAGCGGTGGACTGTAGATTGCAAATTGACTGAAAATATAGTAATCCATAGGTCGCTGTTTCAAATCCGGCTCGAAGGATATTATTTTTTAATATACAATATACTTCGGTGAGGTGCTTAAGAATGGTCTACGGGAGGATTAATTTAATTTTAAACTAACACAATACTCTTAAAAGAAAGTAATGTTTGGTTGTTCCGCCTATTTTAATTGCTGGTCTAGATTTCTAAACGAACAATTGAACTAGGCGGAACAACCAAACGTAAACAATGACTTTAAATGCAAATTTCTTGAGGATCAATCCACATCCACGCAATATTTATACAGCATCTGATAGAGCAAACTTTCTTTATTGAATGGTGCTGTAGTTCAATTGTTCGTCTGGATTTAATAGCAACTATCCTTTCTAGACTTACATTTGAAAATGTCAGAATTCCAAAATCACTATATCGAGAAAAGGTTTGTGTCCAAAGCACGACCGCATTGTTGAAGTAGAACTACAAGATTTTTTTTTGATGCTCCATTCACTAATATATTAATAAAAAAATAAATGGTTTAGAAACTTAACTCCAAAATGAACAATTCGTTATACAATTTCTTGAAATTGGGCGGTTATTGAATAAATCCTAAAATTAGGATTACTTTTGGCCGCTTTCTTGTTGGCTCGACACATTCGAACGCGTTCAGCAACGGTCCGCGTCTGTTTCGCAAGTTTTCCTGCCTCCTGGTCTCTCACGCGTTTCCGAAAATCGCGGAGATATTTAGCAGCCATGTGTTGGAGATTTTTACAGAATTTCTCAATAAACACTTGTTTCACTTCAAATATTGTCCAATGTGGAGTGTTAACACTGAAGCACTTACTGTACCAAGTGGAATTTATAGAGAATGCTACAATGCATGATCACGATGGTGTTTCAATATGATGTCTATGTTTGGGAAACAATCACAAAATGAAATTTGGATTGCCTTTCTTTTTGCACACACCGGTAAGCTACACGCCGGTAAGACTACTCCCATCATGAGTAGTTTGCTATCACGTAGCGACACTCTCCTTTTGCGTAGTTCGCCAATGTCAATACCTTGAAAGCAAAGGGCAATTAACGAGTTATTAACGATAGATGAAGAGAATCGATCGAAATTACTTGCACCCCTGCTTCCAAGTTTGATTATAAGATTCAACTCTGGAGAGCATTTTGTGTGGTCGTTGGGGGAGTGTGGTACTGAATATGGATAAAGAGGCACAGATAAATTGTATTCCAACTCTTTACTGCAATAAGCTTGTTGGCCCTGAAAAGGGCCGTTTTGTTGCCAAAGTTGGCGATGATTTAACCTCCGAGACCGTACAGAGTGCGTCTGTCGCTTCAAAGTGTAGACGACATCCATGGCCGCTTACGCTTGGCGTGTTCATAGTAGGTGACAGCACCACGGATCACATTTCCAGGAACACCTTCAGCACACTTCGTGTTTTCTCGTAGATCAGACCGGAGATACGTTTGACACCGCCACGGCGAACCAGACGACGGATGGCGGCTATCACGAAGAACCTTGCGATGACGCTTGGCGCCTTGTTTACCTTTTCCTCCTTTGCCACGACCAGTCATTATTGCTTGTTAGGTAGAAGAGTGGACTACTGCTGCTATTGCTGCTTCTGCTGCCTGTTCACCACGCCGTTCGAAGCGAAAATGAGTTGAGGCTAGACAGCAGCGCTCTTTGATATCTTTTCAGGTTAAAGCAGAATGATGTGCAACCAAGTGGTACTCGATTATGACGACTGGGTTTGGGAAGAACGTTTATATCATGAAAACAGTGATAACATTATCACTTTTTATTTGTACATTGGACAATGCTTGACATTACAACTTTTTCAATAGTTTCTTGTTGAAAATCATCACTTGGAAACATTGATATTGATGCGTAGACATATTTCTGATCGATTGGTGATAAAATTATTGAAATTGGTCCAGGGGCAGCTGAGTTATTAATGTTCAAAATCTTTCATAATTATGTTACATGTTCCATTTTCGGTTTTCATAAAGTGTACCCCCATATAGAAATCACAGACGTAGTCCTACATCAAAATCAAACCTATTTCACGACTTTCAATTTTCTGGATGATTTTATTCGCTTGACATATAGTTGATAGTGTAATCTATCAGTACGTTTGGCATACTAAAACAATATAGTTCGTAGTTCTGGTGCAAGGCGTAACAACCAGATGCATCATAGAGTTGAAAATTGGAAATACGCCATGTAACAGGAAACGTCTTTGATGATTTGAAATGATATTTTCTTCTACTTTTTCGTGTTTATCGAGTAGTTTGTGAGCTGTTCTCTCTATTTGTGTAAAAATATGGTTTGTTTACATTTTGGATCTTCCGCCTCTTTCAAATGTTAGTCTAGCTTTAACCTGTGACAATAGGTCGTATGGATAAAAGCGTTTACTTCACTTTTCCCGTAAGAAAAGCACGGGAAAGTAAAGTACTATTTTTATTCATACGGCCCAACGCTCAGCTCGGTGCTATTTTACATGTTATTACTCAGAAAATGTTTTATATTGTTGTTGTTGTAAAACAGAATCTTACCTCTCAACCTTTGGCAGTACCAGACACTGTCCGCAACTAAATCCGTCTATTGATGAAAATCCAACGCAACCAAGTCCAATCCAATCGTGCATCCAAAACTCAGATGATTCAATTCGTTTTCAGCTTCAATCCTGCTTCCACCGAGCAACGGAGCAGGAAATCCCGTTTTTATTTTTCCCGAATTATCACCACTCGTTTTGTATTTTATTGATTGAAATTGATGTAAAAAATGCACCGTGAGAGCAGCTTGCAGCCCCTTCGGAGACAATATAAAATCGAAAATCAAGAAAAACACTCCGATGACTGATTCTCCACAAACACCAACACAAGGTTTCACACCGCAGATAGGCACGGAAAGCACCTTCTACTTCTGGCCTGACCAGTCACCACCCCAGCGGCAGATGCCGTTGTTGCACGGTTTTGTTTACGTTTTTTGCTCCGGCGCCGCGCGCGATCTTCGAAAATATCAAAACACACTCACACAGCCGCACTCCGCTTGCTATGAATGAATCCGTAAATAAAAACTCGACACGCGCGAATCAACCAGCGAAAGAGGACCGAACGATGACAGTTACCACTACCAGCACATTATAAACCGAAGTCCAACGGGAAAGGCGGGAAGAATGCGGCAACGGGGTTCACAGAAGCGGGTGGAAGATTCTTCTAGCAGCGTAGCGGTAGCACCCTTTCCGAGGGTCTCCACTGTACGGATGTTTCCTTATGAGAATTTTCCCATTCACTCACGATGAATGCCCGCACTTGTCACTGCACTTGGTTCAGCATTTTTTGTCCAAATTCGATCCGCACGTAAATAAGCGAACAAAAAGCAAAATAAACGCACACACCGAGGTTGAAAACAACCGATGCAGTTTCTGCTGCTCAATCGCCGCGGTTTTCAAAGATGGCAGGAGAACGAAACTTTTGAATCTCAAAATTTGCGCGTTTGACGTTTGGGCTGCGAGTAGAGCTGTGCCCGATGGTTTGTTTTGATTTTCGAGGCGCCCTGCGGCTGGAACTGTTTAATATTTACGGTCGTTCCGATGGTCGATTATAGACCATCGCAGACCCAAATCAAGCTGAACATTGCATTAGGTCCTAAGTAACATTGATCGATTCTCTTCGTCGACTTTCTCTTTCGTTAATAACTTGAGCACATACCCGTTTCTTGTTGTAATTGTTGTATTAGATGCCAGATATAAGCTTCTTTTATCAATCTGTGTGCTGAAAATAACTGGGAATGTTTTTACATGGCCGTGGGGATACAAAGAGAAAGTCGACGAAGAGAATCTCTCAATGTTACTTAGGACCTACACGCTCAGATGCACATACCTTAAAGTTGGTAAAGAATACCTAAATATCGGTAGAAATTACCGATAATCGAAGAAAGTGCACATATCTAAATTATCGGTAATCATGGATTACCAATAATTAACGTTAAATATTACCTAATTTATAGTAAAAAGTAGCCTACTTAAAGTAAAAAGTAACGATTTTTATCGTTAAAAAATACCGATAACTTTTTACCGATAATTTTAGGTAATCGTAGCTAAGAGTGTAATGCAATGTTCAGCTTGAAATGATTTAAACTGCACGGTAAGAAAAAAGTTCCCAACGGCCAGTTCACTTTTACCTACTTTTGACTAGTTTGTCTCCTTTTCTCCTTCTAATGTTGTCAAAAACGGAGGAGCAAAACCATCCAGGGGTGGTAAAGTGTGGGAACCCAACGTTGCGTATAATCATATTTACCTACTTTTGGGTACAACTAACCTACTTTTGGGTAGAAAGCTAGTGGAAAATTCCATATGAATTGCACACAAGTAAATGAAAACTACTTTGACCTAGGGGAAGTACAACTTGATCTGAAGTAATATTTGGTGTAAAAATTGCACAAAATGGTAGATTTTAGTATAAATATTAATGATATTAACTGTCAAGCGGAAAGCTACAAAGCAAAAAAAATTAACAGTGTAACTTTAACGCATACATTCAATTACGTTTCACCGTTGTTGTTTATGTTTACTGCAGCTTTCTGTTTGTCATCATTTTTGCCTAGATTTTCTTTTTCGATAGCTCTGATCGTTTTCGGCTTCGGCTTTTAATGATAAAAACGACACTGGACGTTCCCCCAGCAGTAAATCTCTCCAGGTTACAGGCTCATGGCGAATCGAGAGAAATACGACCTCGGAACCATCACTCTGGGACTCCGTTTACAGAGACGGCGTAGTCAGTCAATTCCCGTTCCATCGCAGACGTGGAAATTAATGGCTATTTCCTGGGAACGGAAGTGCGGCCGAATTTATTAGAACAAGGAGCGGATTTCGGTAGCGGTGGCCAGCAAGATCATCAAGGAATGATTTGCCTCTCGTGTGAAATCCATAGTGTCCACATAGTCAAACACAAATAAACAACTGTCAGCATAAGTATAAGATTCGCAAATATCACACATATTAAAATATTTAATATTTCCACCATCGGTATTGGCCGGCGCCGGTGGTGTAGTGGTAAGCGTGACTTCTTTCTAACACCCCAATAGGTCTGGGTTCAATTCCAGCCGAGGTCGGTGGGATTTTTCTGAGGCATACAAATCTCTGGTCACGTCTTCCTTCGGAAGGGAAGTAAAGCCGTTGGTCCCGGCCCATGTGTGTTGAATGGGTGCGATATCCTACGCAGGTGTGGAAGCTGCCTTCCTGCACATTCGATGTCCGTCGGTGATTGGCACTAGATTGCGGAACAGAGACCAACGTTAAATAAAGGAAAGAAGACCATCGGTATTGATGCCGATACTTGGAGCTGTCCTTCTTCTAGACTTTGACCTACTTTACCTACTTTTGGGTTCCTGCACTATAGTGCCGAGATGAGTGAAAATAACTTACTTTTGGGTACTTTTTTCTTACCGTGTGGTGTGGCAACGTGAATTCTAGACTAACATTTGAAAAAGGTGGAATTTAGAAATCCCCATATCGATAAAACTGCTTGCGAATTTTGGTATCCAAAAGCCAAATCCCATTTAAAAAGTGTTACTTTTTTGGATAATTTTATTAACTTGAATTATAGTTCATAGCGTAATCTATTAGCATCCATGGCTTAAACGTGAAAAAATGGATTTTTTTTCCGGGAAATAAAGAAGTAAACATCATAAGCCTTGATAATTTCTTACATGTTGTTACCTCCTGATCTTCTTGAACGGCCAACACTGGTAATACGCCGTTGAAATACACACTCGGGATTTCTTTGTTTGTTTTTATGCCTTTGCGAGAGTGGAAGTATGCCCGGAGATTTCTCGGTCTTTTTTTTTTGTTTGTTGTCTACACGAGAAATATGCAACAAATGCATTTAAAATGGAGGAGGTCTGACTATATACAGATACTACCGAATTAGAATGTTTAGCATATTAGAACACTTTAATTCGTAGTTTCGGTGCAAGGTGTAACATCCAGATGTATCATAGAGTTGATGGTTGGAAATAAGCCTTTAAAAGAAAACAATTTTGATGATTTCAAAGGATTTTTTCATCAGATATCATATTTTCTTTCAGATAATGTATAACAACCGATACATTTTTCAAAATTAATGAACCCAATTGATGATGGAATTTGACGTCACACTCGTATAACCATTTGAAAAGCGGGAGAACGAAAGAGACGACACATTCACTGTGCCTTACCTACATGGAGAACAAATTCATTAAGTTAAGAAAACAATCCTAGCGGCGCCGGTGGTGTAGTGGTAAGCGTGATTGCCTCTCACCCCACCTAGCCTGGGTTCAATCCCAGTCGGCGCCACCGGGATGTTCTGAGGCATAACATCTCTGATCACGCCTTCCTTCGGATGGGAAGTAAAGCCGTTGGTCCCCGGTTCATGAGTTGATGGGTCGATAGGTAGGGTCCAGGTGTGGGAGCTGCCTTCCTGGCACGTCGGTAGCATTGGTGCTCAGCACGGAAAACAAGATCGACGGAAAAAACAAACCAAAGGAAAAAAAAAAAAAAAAAAAAAAAATTGGTTTCAAGTCATCATCAAAAATCCACATAATTTTAACCTAATTTTTAACTTGTGAGACGTGGAGTATGTATTTTCCTTAGATTTTGCAGTGGTGTTTTAAGGTCGGTAAAGAAAACTTCCAATAATGTCGATAATGAAGAGCAATTCGTTTAATAAAATATAGTTTTCCCAGCAATAATTTAGTTGAATCAACTGAAGTATAGTTGTATTTTGACGTTTGACGTTTGCTCATCAACTGAAAAATATTGTTGAGCAAGCTATGGAATATAGTTGTTGTCCTTTATTTGTAGTCAAATCAACTATAGTTTTGAGTTATCTATAAAACCGAGGGAGCGACTCTCTACGATGCAGGAAAAAAAATGTGTTTTGCTGTGGTTAGCTGCGCGCACGCTGCGTGGATAGAAAGAAGTTTGATGACGATTCTGAAGATTTCCTACAAAAAGATGATGCACGATGCAAGTAGATGCGAGAAATTAAAGAAGATTTTCCTACACGGTAAGAAAAAAGTACCCAAAATTGAGTTCCTTTCACTCATCACGTGGCTTCCGTGGGGCTAGGTAAAATTAAGTTAAAGAAGAAAACTCAATTTTGAGTAATCCTGGCGTTGACCAAGTTGACAAAAAATAATAAAACGGAGCAGTCTGGAAACGAACCATGGACGTTGAGATTACGGGGCCCGTGTGTTGACCATTCGTCTATCAACGCTTGTGAAAATGAAATGGTTAAAGGCGCATAAAAGCAACCTCAATGAAAATAAACTTATATTTGAGTTCATTTATTATTACTCAATAGTTGAGTAAATTTTAAACAACGCCGCTTTTCTGATTCACTCAACGGCGGACCTCAAATGATAGAACCCAACGTTGAGTTTTTTTTAACTTAATTTTGAGTATTTTTTCTTACCGTGAAGTATTAAAATTCGCTAGTGTGAGATTTGCTGAGCATCTGAAATTAAGATTTAGATGTGTCACCCCCCTCGTATAAAACAAATGAGCAAAGTAATTATTTTTACCGGAAAAAATATTGCTTCTAATATATTTTATTCTCCGTGTGTTTACATTTCGTTTATGGATGATCAGTATGCCGATTTGACAGCACATCCCGCTCCTGCAATAAATAGGACCTCAATAACGACATCTCTCGAGCTTGTTGTGGCAAACAAGTCGCTATCAATATTGAATGCAAGATAAACAGAATATATACACTGAAATCATTTAAATGGTAGCTCACACTCGAAAAGAGTGTTTGTTTCTACTATGCCACGAAATAGTAGATATAAATACAAATTACTCAATATTTACTACGATATGTTCAAATCTACTATGCATTGGCTAGAAATGCCATGGTAAAACTAACAACATTTTATCGACAATTCAAGCAGCTATTCCTCTTCAAAGTTACCATTTTCATGGTAGCTGCAACTTCCGCTAATGAGATAAAATTGTCTTCTGTCTACGTATCTACCATTAATATGGTAGAATTAATTGCACAATACCGACAGTTTTTCACTGATAATATTATGCGATTGAAAATACCATGCTTGTGGTATTTTCCGATTCACACTAAACTTCTGGTTGCAGCCATTTGTAAATATGAAAAATATCGTCTTTCCCATCATCGAACTAGACAGCAACCATATCGCCTTCTCCAGTTGTGAGTGGAATACTTCGAAAAAAAAAAATGAAAATTATTGTGAAAGATCGTTGTTTTGCTAGGTAAGTATGCTAGCTGGAATTTTCAATCTTAATTTATTTGTTTTCTTTCGAATATTGTAGTTGGAAGCAAAAATGTAACCTGAATCTGCCGCCCATTATGACGCATTCAGACGACAACGTCTCCCGATTTACAGCTCATAGCACAAACCAATATTGCAATAAGCGGCACCATTTCAAACACCCACGAACTC